CGCCCGCCGCGTTGAATCACATGATGCCAGTGATGCCCCGCGACGTACAGAGAGTCCCTCGGCTTCGCTGAACCTTAGAATCTTAAGAGCCCAAGAAAGAGAGAGAGAGAGAGAGAAAGCAGATGTAGAGCCAAGAAGGCGAACGGAACGTCTACACGGATGTATCCATCCATTGGGGGTAAAGGGGTGGAGGGCTGATGCGGTTGGAGAGAGAGAAGGCATCAGCGACGTGCATCAGCAGGAAGATCTCGTAGTCGAGTAGCACGTGATAGGATTACCCTTTACTCAACCGAATTCGCAGCCTTCATCAAAAGCTCCCCCCCCCCCCCGACACACACCCTCACCCTTCGACGACAGCGACACGGTATCGGCTGAAGTAAGGGGCTGGCTCCTACCCCCCTGCAAGCATTATCTAAGTGCACTACGCTTTCTCTCTCTCTCTCTTTGAAGATCTGCCAGTGTGTGTGTCGAAGTTTCATGCCTGCCCTGTTGGTCTATGATTACCAATTTTGCCCAAAACCTTTGGCTCCTACCCTTCTCTTTCTCGAATAGAGGCACTTTCGCATCTTACACTGCGTAGACTCTGCGGACTCGAGAACAGAGCAACCCCCACCCCCCTCGTATACCTCTTGGTTGGATCTTAAGTGGCCGCTAACATGGCGAGCGCGCCTCTATTTCGCTTAAGTTTATATAGACGTGTACACGGATGCCGCGGCCCATGCATATGTAGATTCGAAAGAGGATGAGGTGCTTCTTGCCCGCTCCGAGCGTGTTTGCGACGAAACGAGGTGTTTGATCTAGAAGATTTATAACGACGGGTTATGATCGCGCAACGACTTCTCCGATTTAGAGTCTCGACCTTTTCGCGAAACTGAAAAAAGAAAAAAAAAAAAAAAAAAAAAAAAAAAAAAAAAAAAAAAAGACACAGAGAAAGTTGGATACTGTAACTGTAAAACGCAAGTAAAGCTACATCACATCCACTGCGGCAGCTAACACACACGCAGAGGAGGAGGAGGATTTGGAAGGTTTCGTCGCGTGGCCGGTGATCTCGTAAGCTCCCGAAGGTTATCTCATTACGTCTTATCTGAAGCTTCCGCGCTGCGCCATACACATTCCACCCCCTTCGCCTTAGAATCGCCGCAATGAGCCACTCGCTTGTAAATACCTACATACGACTCTGGCCTGCATCTACATACCGCCCATCCAGCCTCGAGCTTAAATCACACGCGAACTCGCCTGCACGGCTCTCGGGCCACACGCGAGGATCTCGTTTGCTTGCTTGCACTTATTCACGCACGCGGTAACACAACGTGTACGTGTGTGTACGTACACGCATCCGCGCAAATTCCTATTGCCTCTGTCCATCCGTGTACTTACGTCTTGGCTTATTCAGCTCTTTGTGGTCGGCGAAAGGGGATGATTCGATTAAGCGAGAGGAAAACGAGGGCCGCTCTATCGGCGATACACCACGTGGGATGCCATCTCTCGCCCCGGTACTAATGAGCGCCGAGGGGGAAGGTGGGGCACGTACCAACTGAAATTAATAAAGAAAGTTGAAAAAGATGGGGGTGCAGGGGGCGGGCCGGGGGAAATAGAAGACGAACGAGATACGAAAGGAGAGATAAAAATGGAGCTCCGAAAAGAGTTTCGCGGCGCTCATCCGCTCTGCCCCCCCCCCTACCATTCGTTACTCGTTATCGTCGCGTCTCCGACATCCGCCGGATCAGCAGCCTCTCTCTGATACCGCGACGCACGCCTACGCGCCTTTTGTTCGGAGTTTAATTTCTGCGCCCCACGCGTGTGTGTATTACTTACTCGGTGATGGTTTGTATTTGTTGCGCCACTGTTTTTTAACAACGCAAGTGTGTGTGTGTGTGTGTGTAGCGGATAGCGAAACGCGAAACGGCTTCGAGAAACGCGATTAGATTCCAAAAGACTGGCTCGAGTCTTTAGATTACGAGGGGCTAACGCGCGCAACATGTACATATTGTGTATACATATAGGTGCACAAAGACGAAGACGAAGACGAGGAGAGGAAACCTTAGGAGCCTCAATCCCTCGCCTACATTTCTCGTCCTTCTCTGCTCGTACACGTTGTCTCTCTTTCTCTCTTGGCAAACATACACAAGACTTGATAACTCGTGCGTGAACTTAGTCGTTGTAGCGCGACCCTCGGGATCACTGGAACGTGTACTCGTTACGGGTAAACGCGCCACTTTTGCATCCCGAACTGGGTTAAATGGATTCGACGAATGACCCAGGGAGTTTGATCTCTCGCTCTTCCGAGGCTTTTTCGCGCGTTGTTTCCCAACTGGGTGAATATCCGTTTTACTCTTCTCCCCCATGCGCGAGTGGAAATTCGAGGTGTACATGTAATACCATCCCAGAGACGTAATGTACGACAATAAATAATAACGCGTCGGAGGGAAAACGCCGGGTTGGCTAATCAGACGAGAGGCAACCCAAATCAAACCCCGACGAGTCAATCGCACATCCGCGAGAGCGAGAAAAAGGAAATAAGAGTAGACGCGGGAGCAAAGTCGCCGCGAGGAGCTTATCTCTCTGGGTGAAACGGGGCAGTATATAGCACGACCGCGTCGATTGTGTATACCTTGCAGCGGTTGGCTGGTGACGCTTCCGTCGCTCCTCGGCCAGAGGCGGCAGGGCGAACAGATAGCGACAAGCCCGAGATAGCTCTTTTCCTCTCGCCTCCCGTGATTTTCGTCTCGCGCGCATTAAATGTATATAACTATACGGTGCCGTTTATACGTATATATACGCGCCCGCCAGAAATGAGAAATGTCTTTCTCCGTCCGCGAGATTAGGGCGCTTCCTCCGCCGGGGACACTCAACTTTTCTCCTTGCCGAAGAAAAAGGGGGGTAAGAAAAACGATGATCGAAGTACTTCACCCTTCAACCCTGTGCTTTTCCGACTCTCTTAACAAAGTTGGCCCGGAAGGAGGGAAGGAGCTTATATATAAATATATACCATTGTGCCCCGCTCGACAACCTCTCACTTTTTCGATAATGAAGCCAGGCTGCCCTCCTGTTCGTCTACCTTCTCCCTCTCTCGGATCAAGTTTAACCAGCTGTACTGCGCTTGTTTTATTTTATTTTATTTTATTTTTTTTTTTAAGCTTAAAAATTCCTCGTTCGGATGATATTCGTTAACTTTGTACTCCCTACGAATCATCGAAAGCCAGCCGCAAGCGTCTTACGCCCCCCTAGTTTCCCATTAAAATCTACCTGGGTGGATCACTTGCCCCCTCGAAACTCGGGCCAGCGCGTCTCCATTGACAGCTAATAACCAGCCGGAGAGTATTAGGCGCCTTCCCTCGGCGACCGAGACCAAGTATGCAGAAGAGTATACATGTATAGCTCGACTTGCCCGTACATGTACGTATATATATATATACCTACTGACCGGTAAGGTGTTAAGTCCAGTCCAAGACGAGGGAGAGGAGGGGTCAAGCGGGCACGGCGAGGGCCAACAAAGGATTTAGTTGTGGCTCCGCGTTATTAGGTATTAATGCCTAAACTTCCGTCTAATACGAGCGAGCCTGGACCATCAGCGGCTAGTGTAATCCCAGAGACGTACATAGTTTTCATTAGAGGCCGATCTCTCCGCGGGCGTCTTTGTCCCGGCTTTGCCTCTGTCTCTGTATATATACGTGCTGTTACTGCCTCTTCTTCTACTACCACTATTATTAGTATAATATGTGTATATATAGGTACGTACGGTCAGCGGATGGTTTTGAGAGTCCAAGCCGAGCTTTTGCACCCCCTCCCTTGCCCCGGCCCGGCCAATTTAATCGCTGGACCTTGCCCCGTCCGCTCATATTTAGAGCTTCCTCTCTCTCTCTCTGTCTGTGCTTTTATCAATAATGTCGTTGCGCGCCCCAATAGCCATCGAATTAAATTGGCCCATGTATTTTCCAATGGATCGGTATTTCCTTACCTATCGGTTAAACGTTGTTTTTTTTGTCGTGTCGTTTGCTGCTCCATTGACTCCAAATTCCCATATCGTAGAGCTCCTCGTCCGAATTCGCAAGCGCATGGTAAACCTCTGTACCCGCGTTAAATCGCACCGCGGGGTTTTTCCCAAGACCAAAAAGGCGTATGATAATTAGGGAACTGCGACTCGAGCGGTTGAGTCTGAATGTAGGTGCACGAGAATATCCGCGAGTAGGAAGATTCTACTTTGAGATTCGGAGAACGACCTTTGACGTGTATTCGATGACTGCCTACACGCGCGTATCGGATACATACCTACACCTATTCGATTGTACGTATACGTGCACGGCAGGGTTTACCTTAATACCTATATATATATAACGTTGCCTCCCGCGTCTCCCTACAACCTCGCCCCTGACGTGATCGCGATGACGTTACGTACTTGTGCACGTATACATGTACTCATTCCGGCCTTCTCCCGCGTACAGTTTCGGCAGCTGATGTGTGGGAGAAGGATTGGGGGTGGAGGATAAGAGGAGTTTGGGCCCGGGATTACAGAGTGGCACGGTATACGGCCGAGGAGGAGCACAGAGAAGACTTAAGTCAGGGTTAAACGAGGATCGTCGCCATTGTGTCGCGAAAACGCCGAGGACCTATTGTCTCGCGGGGATAGACGAGTGGATCTGCATACGCTTAGCGCCCGGTGGTAGGAGGGAGGGGGGGGGGGTGGTATACCTCGCTCCCTGTACATTCGAGAGCGCCCTTTTCTTTCTCTCATCCTCCCGAGGCTCCGTACGCGCGTGCACATCTCCTCTCTCATCCGCATTATGAGTTTCCGACGAGTTAGCGCGCGGATCTCAATCGGAGAGTGTTTTAGGATCCCTCGGGGGGGGCACAAGGGATTAAGCGTCGTAGTAATGCTCCTTGTGGCTCGAAAGGGTTGATCTCTGTCTCGCGTGGGTCCACCCAGCGACACGAATATCATCACTTTTCGACGTATAATCACCAAAAAATATACACCGGGAATATCGTGTTTGGTCTTGCAGGTAAGAGTCTTCCGGTCCACTGCGTGGTCGAGGCCATCCACGGTATGGTCGAGGCGCGGCCGAGCGGCGGACGAGACAACTGGCGACGGCCCCTCGTCGAAATGGACACGTACGTCTTCATACCGGCCAACATGCCCTTTCAGGTGAATCTTTCAAAAAAAGAATACGTATATATCTCTCAAGTAGTATGTATATTTACTAAAACGGTGAATGTCGTAACGTTGCAGGATCTGGTGGGCGAGGCACTGATGCGCCTGAGCTACTCGAACGAGCTGATCCTGAGCGCGCGGGGCAGCATCGTCATAAGGAACTGGAAACCGCTGCCCACGGACAAGGTGGCGGAAGGCCCTTTGCTCACGGTGGGCGACATTTTGGCGGAGCTGATCAACCTGGCGACCCTCAAGATACAGGTGTACAGATCGAGGCCACCGCCGCCCACGCCTGCCTCCGAGGTCAGGGACAAGCTGCTGAGGCTACTGTTGCTGCGCAGCCACGCCGTTCTCGTGGCTGCCGGCTGTCCCCTCGACGAGGTATATACATGCACCCCCCTTTCTACTATTTTTTTATTTTTATTTTACTGGGTACCGGTGTGGAAAAGATAGTCGAGGTCAAGTGACGGGAACGAGGCAAGGGAGGGGTAAGCAAAAAGCTCAGGGGGGGGGCAGAGCGAGCTTTTGCGGGAGGAGAGGACGACCGCTTGAAAATGTATAAAATGTAAATCCAGCCGTAGAGTGTGTTTGTCGTTGGCGCCTAATCTCATTAAGAAGTCCTCCGCTCCCATCCTTGCTCTGCTTGGCTCTCTTCCGCGTGTCTGACGGTGCGCCTTTCTTTTCCGGAGCTACGCACGGCGACTGCTGTGCCTAATCTTTGCCGGAAACGGAAACTCGGGCTCGTTCGCGGCTTCCTGATCCCCACCCCCTACCTCCAAGATGTACACTCGCTTTTGAATAAATACCTCGGTCTCGCGTGTATACTTTGTTGGGGAGTAATATCTCGGCCTACAGAAGTATAAGCCTCTCCGCTAACGTGTGTCTTTTCTTTTTTTTTTTTTGCCAAGCAAAGTAGAGCTTGGGTGCCGTGTGTGTTGGGGTTGTCAGGGTTGGTAATTAACAATAGAGCAGTAACGTTAGCACTTGAAAATTTTTATTTCAAGTGCAAGAGAGGACAGTTTTGTGGAAACGATGCTACGATGTACGTTTGTAAATATTGATATTGAAATCGAGAGATGTGGTTGGCTTTTTTTTTTTTTTTTTTTTTTTTTTTTTTTTTTTTTTTTTTTTTTTTTTTTTTTTTTTTTTTTTTTTTTTTTTT